AATAAAAGGCAGCTATTTCACATGGACATTTAAACACAACCAAAGTCGAACATTTGTCACCTTGTAAACACTGGAAAACAAAGTTGGCAGAAAGAAAAAAGAAAGAATGTAAAAGAAAGAAAAATAAGTCTGAATACTGCAAATTGAGATCTACCCCCAGAAGCTGCAATTTGGCATTCTTCCTACAAAATAAGAGTCTACGTGGGAATTGAATTCAGCTAGAAAGGGTGACACACTTTGCATACTGAACAAATACAAAGTGAACAGAAATTATAACTTATTTATGAGGTTTTACAGAGTTCAAACTTGACTGAAAGTATAAAAATAAACTGTGGACTTTGTTCATTCGATTAGTCTTAGTGCCTGAAAGTTATTTCTCTGAAACTGGTCTGTGCCAATCGGGTAACACCAAGTGTGGTCTTCCTGAACCTAGATTTTGTTTCTGAGCTTCCTAGATTCTTAATTTGGGGTCCTTTTGTCTGATTTTTAAATGGTTTCAGGGAACGGAGTGTCCTAGTTTGGCTGTGGGTTTAACCTTTTTGTCTCATTTTCTTACAAGTGAGTGCTAACAAAGGGACCCTTTCTATAAGATTCCCATGTTTTATCTGTTTAGTTTTTTTTTTTAAAGGCAAAAGACACTAGAGAAATGAGATGTGTGTGTGTGTGCATGTGTGTGTGTGTGTGTGTGTCTGTGGTGTTGGAAATGCTCTGGTGAAGCTGCTGTGTCACTTTTTATTTTGATCTTTGCTCGGCTCTCGTCACCCATCATGCTTTGCTCTCGTTCTCCTTTGTCTGTGTGGCGTCATTGGGGACCGTCTTGACTTCGGCTGGCGCTGGCTTCGTTTCTGTCTCCTGGCACTCTGGCTTTGCTTCTACAGGGCCCTTCCTGCAGAGAATCAGGAAAACAGCACCACTGAGACCATGGTCTGCAAACATCTCGCCCCTGTATCCAGGCCCTGGGGACAGCGGGGAGGAGGGGGTTCTCCAGTGTCAGCACCCGGCTCCAACCGCTGCCCATCAGAATCACCTGGGAGCACTAAAAATCACCCATGCCTGGGCCTTGTTCCCGGAAATCCTGATTTAATTGGTCCGGACACGGTGACTTTTAGAAGCACCCAAGTGACTCTAATGTGCAGCCATAGTTGAGAAGCACTGAGTCAGAAGAACGAGTCCTCTCCTCTTCCAGCCCTAAGGTGATGCCAGAGGTGTTTTTACCTGGGGTGGTGGAAGGGGGCAGCAGAGGCAGCTCCTCCTCACCCTGACCAGCTGCAGTGGCAACAGCGCAGCTGGATGTAAATGCAGCCTGCGGGGCTGGGCTTGGCTCCCAGCACTGATTTCAGGGGCCCCTTTGCAACCCACTCTTGCCTGTCCCTTCCCCACCCCACCCTGTGCTATTGCAGGATGATGCCTTTAGGGCCTGCCCGGGTAGGGTGAGAAAACACTGATGGAGGCAGCTTTTCATGGCAGCTTGGTGGAGGACTGGAGTGGACCTGGTGGCTATGCGGGAGTTGAGGGCAGCTGAGTGGGCAGTGCTATCAGAGTCCTTTTCCCTCCTGATGCTGAGATTCAGGGCTCCTGGCGAGAGCCCCTTGCAGCCCCTGGTGGCAGCATGTCAGCCTATCTGGGGAGCAGCCACAGGAGCCTCTATAAAATCTAGGTCTGACTCTGCCTCCATCAGTTCCAGCAAAGGGAATCGGGTCTGAGGATGCATGGGGACAGGTACAGACCCCAGCCTCAGCTGGTGCCACTGAATTTTGGCAAGACACTTACAGACCTGAAAGGTTAAGGACTTTCTTCGGAACTTAGAGACCCAGCTATTTGATGCTGGGAGCCCCGAGTCTTCCCAGCCACTCTAAGAGCAGGAGAAGCAAGAGTGGGCTGAGGGCCGGGATTGGGAGGGGAGGGTGGGCATCCGAGCCAGAGTGCAAGGGGGCCTCTAGACTGCACCCTCCCCTGCCACGGGCCTGGGGCCTACCTCTTTTCTTCCTGCACATCAGTGTCTTTCTGGTGGGGCCTCAGCCTGGCACTGAATAACACACCGACTGGGGGCCCCAGGGTGGCTGATAAGGGCACCTTGGCCTTCTTAGCCTGCTTCCCAAGCTATTCTCATCAGTGGCCCGACTGCAAGGGCTCCCCCAGGGAAAACAGAAGCCGCTGCTAGGATGATAAGGATAAAACATAATTAACATGGCCTAATTAGCCAGCAGGCGGCTGCTCCTGGGGCCCAGCTGCCTGTCTTGCTCTCTCTGCCTTGTCCCAGCCCCTTGGTTGACGGTCGCCTCAGAGAAGCCCTGGATGAGGCTGAAGACACATCTAAGAAGGAGGACACAGCACAAACGCACACCACCACAGGACACAACCCGATGACAGCAGACAAAGAGAGGCCGTACTCGGTCTTTGCTGGCGCAGGCGAAACAGAGCTGTCTGCAGTGGAAGGAGCAAGCTCAGGGGCTTGTCCACTGGCCCCAGCGGCGGGAGCAGGAGAGCCCAGGGCTGCAAAAACATCCTTTGCAAGGTCAATATCTGGGGTCTTGAAGTTCCCTTCGTCCATTTTAAAGTCCTCGCCCTGGGAAGGGTTTGTGGTGCTGACGGAGGCAGCCTCGCTCTTCGGGCTAGCAAGGGCTGTGGCTGCCTCGGCCGGGCTCTTCGAGGCTCCGGGCTGGGTGGGCTCCGGGTCCGGGCCTTTGGTGCTGGGAGCCTCCTGCTTGGCCTGAGGGGCTTCTGTGGCAGGGGCAGCCGCTGCTGCTAGAGGACTGGCTGCCCCAGTCGGGGTGGGGACTGGTGCAGGGGTGGGCTTGCTGGCCGGAGGAGCCTTAGAGGCCTCCCCAACACTAGCAGGGGCGCTTGGGCTGAGGACAGCCCCTTGGTTAGCCAGGACACTAGAAGACAAATTGCTAGCGGCAGGGGTTGAGGTCGGGGTGTCGCTCAGGTCAACAAGGGGGGCGACCTTAGGGGCTGAAGCTGGGGCTGGGGAGGAGGCAGAGGCGCTGGGCCCCTTGGAAGGGGTGGCCTGGCCAGCCGGTACAGAGTTTGAGTCAGGCGTGGCCGTGGCCGGCGGGGCAATACTGGAGGTCAGGGTGGTGGTCTCACTGGTGGGGCTGTTCTGAGCAGTGGCAAAGGTTTCGGTGATAGTGTCAGAGTTAGTGGTGACGGTGGTGACAGAAGGCAGCATGTCCTCGACAGTGGCCGTAGTGTCGGCAGGCAGCCTGTGGAAGGACAGGAAGTAGAAGAGAATAGACAATGAAGCTGAGACGTGACAGAGAAGCGAGGAGGAGGGCTGAAGCCCAGGACAGGGACCATGGGGGTGGGGGCATGCAGTTAGGCACAGGCATGGACACAGGCCCACACAGAGAGAAGGATGCTGAGAGGAAGCACACGCCCAGGTGGGCAGAAGAGGACACAGGAGACGACAGAGAACGTGGCGGTCTCAAAAGGGACCTGCTAGCCCTTCCCCGCTGATGTCCCTCCAGCTCTCTGCACAGAGCTCCCTTTCCCTGAAGTCCCTGCAGACCTGCCTAGGGCTTCCTGATCCCTGCCCTGGATCTCGACTCAAGGAGGGGCAGGCTTCTGTTCAGCATCCACCTGCCCTAGGCTTCCCAGGTCCCAGAGGAACTGGGCCCAGCTGCCCTGCAGGGCTCCCCAGGGCACTGATGGGAAAAGTCACGAGTAAGGCAGATCATGAGTACTCAGAATGGCTCCTGGGAGCTGTGGGTTCTTCCAGCCACAGATTTTGTGGTTCCTTGAAACTCCATTCCCTTTAAGCCCATAGGATCCTTGACCGTTAGGCAGGCACTACAACCACAACTGGTCAGGGGCTCTGTGGGTCCCCGAGGTTTCTGAACAGAGGAGGGGCCAGGAACTTTACCAGGTCCCCTGGCTTCCCTTATCCTTTCAGGAGGAAAACACAAAACCCTAGAATTTCAAGAAATCCTAAGCAGACTCTGCTAAGCCTCATTGAGATTTTGCCACCTTAAGTCATTTCCAAAATATGTGTACAACTTGAGAACAGGGGCTAGGGATCCAGGGATCCCCGCTTATACAGGAGCCTTCTAAGGGTACCCACAGCCACCGAAATAGCACCAAAAATGCCTTCTCTCTGAGGACAGAGTGAGGTCAGGCATTTCTTAGCCAAGCAGGTCTTGTGGCCAAGGGTTTGGAATCCTGGCCAGAACTGTTTGGCCGGGAGCTGTGGGTAGGGGCACGGGAGGTGGGGGTAGGGTGGGGAGGTGGGTGTGGGGGTCTCTATGGAGCGGGTGCCAGCCCCTCCCGGCCCACGTACTCGGGCTCCGTCAGTGGCGTGGTCTCGTTGGGCTCTGTGTGTTTCCCTCCGTCATGGTTTGGGGTCCGCTCCTCCTCCGTTCGGACCTCCACGATGGGCTCCTTGGACTCGTCTTTCCTGTGGAGACAGCACTGCTGGTTAGACCCTAGGGCAGCTGCAGGGAGAGGCTCCCCTAGAAGAGCAGCTATGACTCAATCCAAGGCTGGCACTGTGGCCATAGAGAGCCAACAGATTCAAATGTATGAGTCTCAGCCCAACTCTTGCTAGCTGTGTGACCTTGCGCTTCGGATTTAATCACCCTGCCTCAGTTCCTTCATCTGTAAAATGAGGCAAAAACAGTGTTACCTTGCCTAGTTATTATGAGAAGTCAATGAGAGGATGCATGGGAAGTGCTAAACACAGTGCCTGACACAGGTCATTGCTCAAATACATACATCTATCTCTGCACACAGGTATACACACATTTCTTTTTCTTTTCTTTCCTTTCTTTTCTTTTCTTTTCTTTTTTTTTTTTTTTGAGACAGAGTCTTGCTACGTCACCCAGGCTGGAGTGCAGTGGCGTGATCTTGGTTCATTGTAACCTCCGCCTCCTGGGTTCAAGCGATTCTCCAGCCACAGCCTCCCTAATAGCTGGGATTACAGAAGCATGCCACCACGCCCGGCTAATTTTTGTATTTTTAGTAGATGCAGGGCTTCGCCATGTTAGCCAGGCTGGTCTCAGACTCCTGACCTCAAATGATCCATCCATCTCAGCCTCCCAAAGTGCTGGGATTATAGGCGTGAGTCACCCCTACACATACATTTCTAAGTATGCGCACATACATGTATATGCATATACAGTGTCTGGCATGTGGTGGTGCTAAACAACTTATTTCCTTGCTTGGTCCCTTTCTGGCTTGCTCCAGCTCTGCTCCACCCAGTGACAGTCTTCAAAGGCTCCTGCTAACTGGCTTAGGATCTGATTCTCCAAGATGCTGTTGGAGGGACAGTATCTGGATCATCGGCTCCATAAGGACAGGAATTTCTTTTTGTTTTGTTCCCTGCTGTACCTATGTGCCTGGGAACAGTGCCTTGCCTGCAGCAGCTGCTTGCTAAATATTTGTTGAGTGATGGATGAATGAATGAATGAATAAACGATGTGCGAAAGCAAGGCGAGTGTGTCCCTCTAATGCTGCTCCACCCCAGGGCAGCTCCTCTCCAGGTTTAGTTCTGACAATTTCCCTCATTTTGACATATACAGGGATTTTCACACTCTGGGGAGATTCTAATACAAGAGATCTGGGATTGGGCTCAAGAGTCTACAGGTAACCCCCAAAGACCATGCTTTGAGAAGCTTTTCTCTAACGCTTTTCCCCCCTCAGGGTTCCAAATGGAGAACATGCAATGTAAGGAAAGGTCACGACAGGCACCAGCTAATGGCTCGGGGTGGTGCAGCTGCTGGGTCCCTGGGCTGGAGCAGAGCCCAAACCTCAGCAGGGTGGACAGGTCTGCACTCACGAGAAGGCGGCCTTGCCCTCCTCCATGTCCTTGCCCTTGGCCCCGGGCCCGGCTTTTCCACACAGGTTGACCGCAATGCACATGAACAGGCCACATTTGTTCAGGAAGTAGCAGGTGATGTCCACGACCACCAGGAGCAGGACGAAGATGACGATGAGGATGCCCACGATGGCCCCGGTGCTCAGGCCTGAGGTGGGGCTGCCGTTGGCTTGAGAGGGAGAGAGATGGCTGATGGTTAATAGACTGAGATGCGAGACCTCCGGACCCTGCCAGCAAAAGCCCCTGGGGGTGGGGAGGTCCCAGAGGACTGAGTCATGGCATTCATGCCCAGAGTGACACCTTCCTGGGGCCTTTCTATGGCCCAGAGTTGAGAAAACAGGGTCTCTCTATACCTTCCAGAGGGAGGGATGACAACGTCACCTCACAGATTGGGGGATGAGGGTGAGCCTGGTCAGCTGGCCTCCCGTGAGTCCTGGGAGCAGACTGAGCCCCGCCTGTCTGAGAACACTGGCTAATGAGGCAGTTGGAGGGCACCGCTGTGTTTCCCCTGGACCAGGGCAAGAGGCTCTGCAGCACAGGCAGGCAGTGACCACTGATTTCAGGCGGGGCTGTGGCTCCTGGAGTACTCAGGGACAGGGGCCCAAAATGGGGTAGTGGAGGGTTTCCGGGGCTTTCTTGGGGCTTGTTGGGCTGTCCATCACAATAGCATCCCCATTATACTTCTCCACTTCCTCTTTCCCTCTTTAGGAATGATCCCAAAGGAACCCTGCATTAGAGCACACTGGGTTCATGGTTTACCCTCCTCACTGCACCCCAGAAAGACGAGTGAAGCCCAGGTGACTCCAGAGACATGGAGGCCTCCCCAGGCCCACTGGGCAAGGTGAAAGGTCTGGGAATACTCACCATCTAGGAGCTCAGGCCTGCTTGGACCAGACTTCAGGAAAACCTGAAGTGAGTGCAGACTCACTCAGAGGTGCACACACGCACATTCAGGCACACTCACACTCAGGATAAATGCCCCCGCAGACAGGCATGCACTCTCACATTCTAGCACCTGGCACCCTGGTTCTGGCTGGACACACTCTGAAAGACTCAGCCTGTGTCTTACTTCCCTGGTGCCCATCAATCCCCCCAGGGTCTTCGGCTATTGATGGTTTCACAGAGAGACCGGGACTCAGCTCTCTGGGGCCCCTGGGAGATCAACCCATGGCTATGATTGACACTAGTTGCCTGGGATGGACCAATCGACCTCTTGGTGGTTCCCAGCAGTGTCTGGGAGACAGTGGTCATGATGCAGGAAGCAAGGACCCGTGTGGAGCTCTGCCATTAAGTCAATGTGGGAACAATGACCCTAGACTGAAATATGGGCACTTCTAATTCATCTTTCCTCCACAACGACCTGCTTCCATAACTGGCAGCCCTGGCCTACCAGTAGACTTTGTCTAAAGCTTCCTGTGCTCTCAGGGCCAACTGAAGCCACCCAGGACTGCAGACTGAAGATGGGAACTACAGCCAACACTACCTGGGGCTCACCCCACCAGCCACCCCACTCCCAACCCAGCTCACTAGGCTTTGCCAAGCACCAGGCCAGGCCCAGCAGCCTGCGAGCCATGTATCATGCCAGATAGATAGTGGAGGAAACATGTAACCAAGGAACCAGCACCAGAGCTGGGCCACACATTCTTCATGTTTCATGCAGCCTGTGTTTGCGGGAGGGTGGTGGTAGTGATGGCTCTTTGTGCCCCAGGGGTCTCTGTCCAGGCACTGTAGTGCTTCTCTGGTGGCTATCCCTCTCCATTGATCCATATTTCAAACTTCAGTTTGGGGAATGGGCCATCAGCCTAGCATGCCAGAGAGGATCCCTCGCAAACGACTCCTGAGACCCTTGGGTGCAGCTTGCACACGTTTTCAGTCCCTTTGGGACCTTGGCTTGCCTCCTAGCCCTTCCTCCTCAGGCTCCCTGGTTGGTCCCTGCCGACCTCGCACTGAAGATCCTAGTGCATTCCCCCAGGAAGGCTTTCGAGATGGCGAAGAACTCTGCTTGCAGAACCCAGCTCTGGCCAACTGTCTCTGGGCTTTGGCAGCAGGAAGCTGGCCACTGGCCTCAGCTGTCAGCTAGAATGGGTCATTTTCTTAGTAGCCATGAATGCAGAGGTATTTCTGTTTCGTCTCCTAAGAACAAAACCATCCATTTCCCCAGAGTCCTCACACATTCCACCCAAAAAGCAAAGGAGACACAGGCCTTCTTGGTCTTCAGGATCCCAAAGCTGTTTACCCGAACAGGGAAGAAACTTTAGCCTTGGGTTTTCTCTCCATTCCATGACACAGGGTTCCAGGCCACTGCAGCCTCCGGACATCAGGACCCGACAGGTGGGAAGTGCCTACTCCCTGAAGAAAGAGCTAGAAGTATTTTTTTTTTTTGATGACAGTGGGGAATGTGTCTGGATTTTTGGACTCAATGGCACTAATTATATCTTCTGAGGTTTATGTGTAAATATGATTTTGTGAAACTAATCATATCTCTAAAGAGGAAAAATAAACTCCTGCAAAGCTGCTCTATGTGCTTGAGAGGACAGCAGCTGAGACAACTGCTCTGTGCTCATCAGACCCAGCTGGAGGGCGGCGCTGGCACTGCGCACATCCAGGGGAGGGCCAGGCAGGGAAAAGCCTTCTGAACTGTGGCATAAACAAGTAGGGCAGCAGCCTCCCCTTTCATTTGAATATAAAATTCAAAGTCTTTCGCCCGGCCTAAAAGGCTCTGCCCACCCCTCTGTTGGGCCTCATGGCATGAACCAGCAGCCTCCCTTCTGCCTGCTGAACACACCCAGCTCGTCCCGCTTTAGAGCCTTGATGATTCTGTGCGTGGAACTCTCCCTCCGGGGTGGCTCTCTGTTGTCCTGCAGGCCTCAGTCCTGGTGTCACCTTCTCAGAGAAGCCTTATCTGATCTCTTATCTAGTGTGGCACCTCCAGCCAGTATCTACCATGCTGCTAGCCTGTTTTATTCTCTTCTTACTACTATCTGCCACTTTCTGTTCATTTACATGCTTATGATCTAGCCATCCCCTCTAGGACATCCCAGCAGGTATCCTGCCTGTCTCTCTTGTATCTCCCCAGCATCTAGGACAATCCTGATTCACAGAAAATGTCCAAAGAATATTTGTTGCACAAATGCATGAGTGTTTAGTCTGGAGATGAGAATGCTATTTCCCAATATTTACAGGTGTTCTAGGAAGAAGTAATCTTACTGTATATGGCACCAACGTGTGGAAATTACGGTGGTGGCAGATTTTAGCTCCAACTGAGAAAGGACTAATAAACAGCACTAATCCAACATAGTGTGGGCTGCTCTGAGAGGTGAGCTCCTTGATGCTGAAGGCATTCGAGCAGAGGCCAGGACACCCCTTGGCAGGGATGCTGTAAGGTTGTGGATGAGGCTCCTGCACTGGGCAGGAGCGTGGGTGGAGACTGTCTCTTCAACCACAAAAGCCTGTCATTCGAAGTCATACATTCTACACTGCCTGGCACAGGGCACCGGTTCCCTAATGCCAGTATCCTCCAGAGTGTGGACTGAGAAAGACTTTTTCCTAGAAGACTAACAAGCTCGGTAGGTCCCATCTTTAATCATTGATCCTTGTGATTTTATTTTTGCATGAAAAATACCTTTAAACTCAATGTATCTCCACCTGTAGCAGAATTCTTGGGGCATTTGTTAAAAATTCAGCATCTGGGGCTCCCCAGCTCTATGGGATCTGAATCACTGGGCGTGAGGCTCAGGAATCAGGAGCTGAACAAGCAGCCCAGTTGATTCTCATGAGGACCACACTCCTAGGTCTTCCCTCCCCTGCATCACAAAGAGGAACAGGTGCACAACTCGTGGGATTTGCCACCCCAGGGTGCACTGCACCGTCTCACCCAGTGACCCTGAAAACAAACTTGACCTAATGTATTGAATATAAAATGAAGAGTATCCCCCAAAGGAAAAGGGACCACACTGTTCACCACCACTGAGTCTAAACTCCTCAAGCACGTGAGATGCTCCTTAAGCTAGGAAGAGAATGTTTGTGGCTTTTACAAAAAAGAGGCTATGAAGAAGGGACAGGCTGTGAAATGGGCAGCAGGGTATTCAAAGCAAAAGCCAACACCCATTCCCTCTCAGTGAGTATCACAGAATTGTTTAGTCCAAGATAACTAGAAGAACAAAGGCCATCTCCTGCCTCTTGTGTAATATTTCACAAAAGGAAAACTATAAACCTCCAGCGGTCTGTCTTTGCTATGGTCTTCCCTCGGCCCTCCCTTGACTAACTCACCCGTGCACCTTGGATGCAAAGAAGGCTTCTGGGGAAGAGCTTCCCCATAACCTCGAGGTCAGAGCTGCCCAGGACAGGGAGATGACGAAGCTGGAGCTGTCCATCTTCTGTGATTCCTGGCTTGGGAGGGGTTGGCACTAAAGAAGGAACTGGCTTGCTCCAAGAATGAGACCCACAGATGCCTACTTTTGTATGCTTTAATATAGGAACACGGGTCTCAAATTTTACGAGCGTCCAGATGGGCCTGAGTCCTTGTGCCATGAGACCCAGGTGCAGCAGAAGTGCCCTCTTCACCCCCAAGACTCCCAGAAGATGATCAGACTCTTGGAACTGCTGAGCTAGGGTTCTGGTTCACTCATAAGCCCCTGACATGTCTGCTTGCTCCTTTGAATCAGCTAAACAGATGGCTGGTCTCAGGGGCTTGCAGGATGTGTCTGAGTTAAGTGTGATTATCAATAGAATACATTTGCAAAGAGAATCTTCTCTCAGATTCCCTCTCCACAAGCTTACTCTGTACAGCCTCTGTTAGGGAGAGTATAAAGGCTGCTGTGTCACCAGGTGGCCTTGCCACAGAATTGTGTATCTGGTGGCTCAGAGTGTGGCCCCATCCTCACCCATAGTGACCACCTCCCCTGTTCTGCAAAGGCATTTTCCCCTCCCACTGCCTGCTGGGGACTCCAAGGCAGCAATGCCTCTTAACAGCTCTTAGGATCCCTGGGAAAAAGAGATTGCTCCCCGTTAGGAAGAAGAAGTATTTCCTTCGGTTAGAACTCCATTCACCAGGCTACTATTTTTCTAGGTAATCGTTTATCCAGGTACATGTGAGGTGGAGGGAAAGGGTCTTTGATGCTTTGTCAGACACAACTATTGAATAAAATCAAGCCACGCTGGTGAGTTCACATGAACTGTTATTTCCTTTAATAATGCAAAGGTGTAAACTTCATAAAGGCCTCACTGATTATCTACACAACAATGTTAGCATTCTTGTTAGTAGAAAAACATGATCCAAACCTGCCGTATAAATAGTCCAAAAATGAGCAGAGGAGCCCCATGGTGTGTGGAGCATGGGCAGCACAACTACAGGGCACAGGGGAGTGGGGTGCAGCTGAGCAAGGTGGGGTGCGCTCATTCCTGCAGGGTCTCTGAGGGCTGCTGTCTTCAGGACTCCTGGCGGGGCTGGAGGCTGCAGCCATCACTGGGAACTCAGTGTCCAGTGGGAGTGGGTGTGAGCTAATGCTGCCTCCTGAGAGGCGCACTGGTACAAGCCATGGGTCTGTCTAAATGGGACCCTTGAGGACCCTGACATTGTTTCAGCTGAGACTTGCCTGACCCTGGGATGCGTTGAGGGGACAGGGCCACATCAGTCCTCTCCACACGTAGGACGAGATCTCCAAAGGGTCCCTTCAGAAAGATGGACACTGCCCTTCTCCTGTGGGTGGTCCTGGGATCAGGGGGAGGCAGACTCCCAAACTGGGCCCTACTAGGGTGAAGCCATGTGACTTCTGCCCAAGGCGATCCTAAGAGCCAGTAGCTCTCCCACACTGACCTGTGATCCTTATGCTCTGCCCTGTGCCCAAGAACCATGCCTGCCTCCACTGCCCTGGTGTGAAGTGCCATCTGGGACTCCAGCGGGGGAGAGTTCTGTGGTTGGGGTGAGAGGCACTACCCTGCCTGAGCTACTGCACAGCATGGAGCCTCTGATGTCTGCACGTGAGCCTCTAAACTGAGCGCTAGGGACTAATGGCGAGCGCCAACATAGGTGGCTTTGCCCCTCAGACCACAGCATGGGGTCATTCGGAATCCCAAAGGGAAAGGCTAGTCTTTGAACATTAAAAATAATAACAACAGAAAAAAAATACATAAAGAAACCAAAAAGAACAAAAATCAAGCTTCCGTGGAGATGCTCAAAGATGAGATATGTAGAATGATATGTGACCACAATGGGGGGAGGGAGGGAGTTTTTATTCAGTAGAAGGTCCATCCCCAAGCACACACGCTGATATTACCAAGCAGGATTCATCCCTGAGTCTCCACGAGGGACCTTAACAAAACACACCCACTTTCTCTCCCGGGTGAACTCCCAAGCAGCAGGGAGGAGCAGCTGGATTTTCAGGACAGTTTAGAAAATGTCACTGAACCAACCCACCAATACAGAGGCTGGGACATTCAGGAAGTACTGCCAGGTTGGCTCGGCCCCAATTTATTAACCCTCCTGGGCTGAGCAGTCTGGGAGTGGCCTGTCCCTCCCCTTCTTCTCTACTGAACACACACAGGCCAGGTAGGGCACTAATGCCTGGTTCACAGTGGATGCTTCCAACCTGTCCTGTAGACTGATGCTCAAAGCCATTCTGTGGGTCATTGCTGAACCACAGCCCCACTCTGTGCTGATCTGTGACATGCTGCCAGGCAGCAGGGGAGTCACCCCGATTGGGAGGCAAAGACCTTTCGAAGTTGACACTTGTTGGCACATCACGGCTTGGCCCTGTTCACAGAGACAGTGTGAGGTGCTGGCCATAATACGAGGACTGAAAGCACATCCCAGAATGTTCATCAGCCCCAGAAAATATCCAACAAATTCAACTTTTTTCCAGTGCATGGGCAACAGGGGTGACTTAAGTTGCTCATCATGTCAGCAAAATGCTCATGTGAGTCAGTGCGGTCTGACTCCCTTAACATGGGCACCTAAATGCTTAATTGCAAGCAAAGCCAATTACTTATTGAAGGGAGGACAAGGAGCACAGAGTTAGAATGAGGGGAATGCAAGGTGATTTTAACAATCTAACACAAGCTTTAGAAGGTACTTAGAATTCTTCCTCTGCTACATCATATTTAGGTTTGAACACAAAATGCAACAAGTAGCAGATATGCAGAAACTTCTCTGTAAACCTAGCATGATGGTTTTTAAAAAATAGCATTTAAAGAAAGAACTCTCAAATTCTTTTTACTGCCATTAAAAAGGGGGCAAACTCCTTATGAAGTAGCACAAAAGTATCTGTGAGTGGTAACATGTCTGGAGGTAAAGCTTTTTTCCAATCGCAAAACCTTCTCTTCCACACAGAATGGTCGCTCAGCAGCTGTGGCCATGGTGGTCCTGCCAGGTTCTTCCAAAGGGGGCACTGATCTTTTTCATAGGAACTGGGCTTTTAAGCAAATTTAATTTTTGTGTTCAAGTTCCTAACAGAGCAAAAGCAGAGTCACTGCAGAGAAAAGCAATGAGACAAAGGTGTAGGATGCAGAGCTGCCTCCCAAGGTTGCTGCAGGTGTCAGGCAATGGGTCCCCAGAGAGAATGTGGTTGTTTAAAAACAAATGTGGCAGTGGGGATGTCCCAGTGACGTCCAAGGTGACAAGTGTGACGACAGACACAGGAAGGGGAGGGGGAGAGAAGGAAAGGGAAGGTAGAGACAGAAACAGAGAAAAAAAATAGATAAAAAGAAAAAAATTAGGTCAACGCCAGAAAACACAGAATCACAGGTTAATTCAACTTAGTAAATTAAATTGACAAAGGTTAGAGAGGGTTCAGTGCGGTATCAATACCATAAGGCCAGTTTCAGAAGCTCAGCAATGCCAGAAGCAGCACAGCAGGGTTAATCTGGGGGTTAGGGATCAGCGAGCAAATGAAATTAAAGTGAGAGAACAGAAGCCTCCACAGTAAAATACAAGAGTTGGATTAGGAGAGTGTTACCTTTCACTAAGGTGAAGCCTGTTAGACACAGCCAGCAAGTGTATCGTCTTCTAGTGTCTAGCGTGTTTTACCCATAGTGGTGGAGATGCATTCAATCGCTGCACTATGAGTCAGCACACTGTGCATAGGGATTGGGGATCGCCTTGTCAGAGATGAAGCAGGCTTTTCTTCCTATGCCACAAGTCCCCCACGCCAGTGCTGTTAAAGGAAGTCTCGTTCTGCTCCCCTCTTCACCTTCTACCCTGTTTGCTGACCACAGAATTCAACCACAGATGTCCAACTTGTCATTCAGAGAGCTTTTATTCTCGGATCCCAATTCAACGGCCAGGAAAGTCTAACCA